GACACTGAGGGTTGCGATCCGTTGCTGGACACGAAAAAAGACAAAAAGGAAAAAAAATAAAATAAAATAAAGTGGCAGAGTTTGGCTGAATTGTGTTTGTGTCCTAGTGTTTTGTGAAAGACAGAACTTAATAGCAATGAAACAGGACATTTGGTGGAAGAAATCTATAAGCAAAGTATTGAGGATGCAGTGTGGCTTCTCTTGACTGCTTATAGTAAAATGTGAGGAGAGGAATGAATTAAAGACGGAATTTATAAGCAAAAGGGAAGCAGAACTTAAAAGATTTTGAAAATTATCAGCCTGCATGTTGTAAAGAACGCAAAAGCCTGTTCAGGAGAAAAAACCATGAATGTGGACAAGCAAATGTTTGATAAGGAGATTAATATGGATATAAGGAAGCCAGATGCTATTCACCAAGACAATGGAGGAATGACCCTGAAGACATTTCTGAGACCTCAGCTGCTGCCCCCCCCATCACAGGCCCAGAATGCCAGGGCCTTGGGGACAGAATAATTTCAAGGCTGTGCTTCCCACACTCCAGTGCAGCATTCCTTGGCTGCCCCAGCTGTGGCTCAAAGCAGGCTCAGGTCCCCCATCACAGGCCCAGAATGCCAGGGCCTTGGGGACAGAATAATTTCAAGACTGTGTTTCCCACACTCCAGTGCAGCATTCCTTGGCTGCCCCAGCTGTGGCTCAAAGCAGGCTCAGGTGTGGCTTGGGTCACATCTCTAGAAGGCACAGGCAGTAAACCATGGTGGTGTCTGCACAGTGCCATCTTCACAAGTGCAGAGTGATCGAGCTTTGAGGGCATGGCTATCTCCACCTAAATTTCAAAGGATGCCCCAGAGAGCCTCAGGTCCCAGGCAGAGAACTGCTACAGGGGCAGGGCCACCAAAGAAAGCCCCCACTAGGGCAATGCCCAGTACAGCCATGTGGGCTGGGCTGACCCTGAGACTACAGACCAGTAGAGCCACCAGTATACAACTCCAGCCAGTGACACAGACAGGCAACACCAACACATGAGAGCTGTTGCATGAACTACACCCAGCAAAGCCATAGGAGTAGGGCTTCCCACAGCCTTGTGGACCCAACCCCTGCCCTAAGTGTATCTGGAAGGTGGGACTTCAAGTCAAAGAAGATTATTCTGGAGCCTTTAGATGTAACATTGTTTGACCTGTTGGGTTTTGAACTTGGTCAGGACCTGTCCTTTCTTCCTTCCTATTTCCCCCTTTTGGAATGGGAATGTGTATCCTATACCTGTTCCACCATTGTATTTTGAAAACACATAACTAGTTTGATTTTACAAGCTTACAGCTGGAGAGAAATTTGCCTCAGGGAGAATCCTACCTTGAGTCTCACCCATATCTGATTCAGAAGATATTCAGATGAGACTCTGGACTTTAGACTCCTGAGTTAATGCTGGAATTAAGACTTCACTGGAGTTAAGACTTTGGGGGCTACTGGGATGAAATGAACATATTTTGTCTATGAGATGGACATGAATTTTGGGGGGCCAGAGTGGGATGCTTATGTTCTGAATATTTACATTCCTCCAAATTCATGTTGAAACCATTGTGGTGGTATTAAGAGGTGATGCCTTCAGAAAGCGATTAAGTGATGAGGGCTCTGCCCTCATGTACAGGATTAACGCCCTTATAAAAGAGGCTTGGGGGAGCTTTCCACCCTCTTCTACCATGTGAGGACACATCAAAAAGGTACCATCTGTGAGTAAGAGGCCCTCACCAGACAATGAATCTGCTGGCGCCTCGACTTCATAATTCTCGGCTTCCAGAACTATGAGCAATAAATTTCTCATAATTTATTGTTGTTTATAAATTATCCAGTCTAAGGTATTTTGTTATAGCAGCCAAAACTGATAAGAAAGGTAGGTATATAATCTTATATTCTGCCTTATTCACATATATTTCATAGATTTTTCTCATTTCCAGATAGTCTTTATTATTTCAAAAGGCTGCATTATTAGCTGTATTGATACAACATAATTTACTTAAGCCCTACCCTCTGGTAAACCATTTAAACCTTCCCAATATTTTGCATTAAAAATAACCCTGTAGTGAATAACTTTGTGCATAAAAAAGATCTTTGCTAATGTTAAACTACACTCTAGGATATACTTCTGAATGAATGAATGAATCAAGTTCCCTGAAATGACATAACTGAGTCTAGTTTGAACATTTTTGCAAGTCTTGCAGTGACAGGACTGACTGCTTCTAAATGGTTCTACAATTCAAAGTCATCAAAAGTGGATGGATACATTACAATCTGGCCAGGAAAAGCAGGAAAAGCAGTTAATCAGCTTTTGCCAACTTAAAAAAAGAAGAGGGAGTTCACATCTTAAAATAACACAATGATTTAGTCAGGCTTAAAACCAGAGAAAAACAGCAAGGAGGCACCAGCACACTTACTGGGGATCTCCAGGCTGGGGTGGATGGCAGCTACACTCCTGACCATGGGTGGGGAATGCCGTCCATCCACCAAGTCCGACTCAGCATCCTGTGCTTCTCCATGAATAACCGCGATTCCCAGACGCAGGCGCTCAGCAAAAGACTGTGCCCTGAGGGAATACATTAGACATTAATTCAAAAATCATACAGCCCCTATTTTCTGCTAACGTCTAGTGGAGAAAACATGAACAGAACATAAGTAAAATTTTTCACAGCTTTATGGAGGTATAACTGAGATACAAGAAACTGTACGTATTTAGAGTGGACAATTTCATAAGTTCTGATATACGTATAGCCCATATAAGCATTAGCACAACCAAGACAAGGAACATATTTACCACTGCCAAATGTTTCCTTGTGCCCCTTTGTAATTTCTGTTTCCAGCTCCATGCAACCACTGTCTGCTTTCTGTCACCATAGTTTCATCTTTTCTAGAATTTCATGTAAGTGGAATCAAAGAGCATGTATTCTTTTCTTGTCTGACTTCTTTTGCTCAGCACAAGGTTTTGGAGATTCATCCATGTTATACTGTATATCCAGTTTCATCTTTTCTAGAATTTCATGTAAGTGGAATCAAAGAGCATGTATTCTTTTTTTGTCTGACTTCTTTTGCTCAGCACAAGGTTTTGGAGATTCATCCATGTTATACTGTATATCAATAGTCCATTCTTCTTCATTGCAGAGTAATACTCCATTGTACGAATAAATTACACTTTATCTTTCTACTAGCTAATGGACTTCTGCGTTGTTTGCAGTTTTTAGCTGTCAGAGATAAAGCTGCTATGAATATTCATGTACAGACCTCTGTACAGGCATATGCCTTCTCTTCCCTTGGTAAATACACAAGAGTGGAATGGCTGGATCATATAGTACTTTTCCAGAGTGATTATACCATATGACATTCCCGTGAGCAGTGCATGAGAGTTCCAGTTCATCCACATTTTTACCAACACTTGGTACTGTCAGTCACTTTGAGATAATCCATTATAAAAGGTGTGCAGGTGTATTTCATGGTGGTTTTAACTTGCATTTCCCTAATGACAAATGGTGTTGAGCATCCTGTTATGTGCTTATTTGCTATCCATATATATTCTGTGGTAAAGGGTCTGTAATCTTTTGCCAATTTTTTAACTGGGCTGTTTACTAAATTTTGATAATTCTTTCTGTATTGAGTACAAAACCTTTATCAGACACATGGTTTACAAATACTTTCTTCTAATTTGTGCCTCTTCCTTTCACTCTCTTAATAATGTCTTCTGAAGAGCGGTTTTTAATTTTGATTAAGTCCAACTCACCAATTTTTTCTCTTAAGAATTGTACTTTTGATGTCATATGAACATCCAATTATTCCAGCATCATTTGTTGAAAGACTATCCTATCCTTTTTCCATTGAACTGCCTTTACAGCTTTGTTGTAAATCAGTTCTCCAGATTTATGTGGATCTATTTTTGGACTCTCTATTCCATTCCACTGATCTACTTTTGTATCTTTATCCCAATACCACATTATCACAATTGCTGCCGCTTTATAATAAGCTTTGAATTCAGGTACTGTTAGACCAACAACTTTGCTCTTTTTCAAAGTTGTTTTAGCTGTTCTAAGGTTCTTTTCATTTCCATATGATTTTAGAATCAGCTTATCCACTTCTAAAAAAGTCAGCTGAGATTTTGACAGGCATGGTGTCAATTCTATAAACCAATTTGTGGACAAATGATGTCATCAATATGAGTCCTTCACACCATGAATATAGTTATCTTTGTCCATTAATTCAGGTCTTAATTTCTCTCAGCAATATTTTGTAGTTTTCAGTGTACAGGTCTCACAAATCTTTTCTTAGATATATTCCTAAATTGTCACTTACTTTGATGCTATTTGAATGGTTTTGTTTTCAATTTCCAATTGTTTGTTTATAGAATACAGAAATACAATTAATTTTTGTATATTAATCTTGTATCCTGCAACCTTGCTAAACTGATCAGTCCTAATAGCATTTTTGTAGATTTCACCAGATTTTCTACATAAATGATGATGCCATCTGCAAATGAGGTCTGCTTTCTTTTCCTTTTTTTTTTTTTTTAAACTACACTGTCTAGAACCTCCAGTACAATGCTGAATAGAAGTAGGAAGAAGAGACATACTCATCTTGTTCCTGATTTTAGGGGAAAAGCAATTAGTCTTTCACCATTATGTGTGATGTTAGCTGCAGGTTTTTCATAGATCCCCTTTAGCAGATGAGGAATTTCCCTTCTATTCCTCGTTTCCTTAAAGTTTTCATCAGGAATAGAAGTTGGATTTTGTCACATGCTGTCTGAGTCTACTGAGATAATGATATGGTTTTTCTTTTCTAGTTTGGTGAATTTTTATTTTTTTATTTTAAAAAAAATGTTAAACCAACCTTGCACTCTTGGGATAAACTCCAAATGGTCATGACGTATTATCCTTTTATATGTTGTTGGATTCAGTTTGCTAAAAGATTACTTAGAATTTTTACATTTATGTTCATGAAGAATAGTGGTCTATAGTTTTCTTGTACATCTGTATCTGGTTTTGGTATCAAGGTACTGCCTCACAGAATGAGTTGGAAAGTAGGAGAGATCCTCAAAAAGTTCTTGGAAAGATTTGTATATCTTTTAATTTTATTTTTCCATGAATTTTTTGATGTACCCTAGTTCTTGAATTTTCTAGAAGAGTTTATATAGAATTAGGATTACTCTTTCTTAAATGTTTGGTATAATTCACCAACCAGAGAATTTACTTTATGGAAAAGTTTTCAATTTTAAATTTAATTTTGTCAATAGATAAAAGGCTATTCAGGTTATATCTAGTTCTTGAGTAGGCTTTGTTAGTTTGTGTCTTTCAAAACAGTTGTCCATTTCATCTAAGTTGTGGAATTTATTGGCATAAGTTGTTATAACATTCCCTCATTATCCTTTTAACAGCTGTAGAATTTCTGGTGATGTCACTCTCTCATTCTGATACTGGTAATTTGTGTCTTCTTTTTTTCCTGACCAGTCAGTCTAGATAAAGGTTTATCAACTTTATTGATTTTCTCACAGAACCAGCTTTTGGCTTTCATTGCTTTTCTCTACGGTTTTTTGTTTGTTTTCTATTTCATTGATTTATGCTTTCACCTTTATTATTTCCTTTCTTATGTTTACTTTGATTTTAATTTGCTTTTCTTTTTCTAGTGTCTTGAGCTGGAAGCTCAGATTACTGATTTACCATATTCTCTTCTAGTAAAAGTGTTTAGTTCTATAAATTTCTCCCTAGGTAAGTATTTTTAGCAACATACCACAAATTTGGATGTGTTTTTCATCTTCTCTCAGTTCTAAATACTTTCCAATTTCCCTTTTGATTTCTTCTTTGATCCATGGAATCTAGAAGCATGTTATTTAGTTACTAAATATTCAGAACTTTTCCAAAGATACTTCTATTATTGGAATTATTCTTAATTCCAGTGTAGTCAGAGAACATATTTTGTATGAATTAAATAAATTTTAAATTGAAGGCTGGTTTTATGGCCCAGAATATGCTCTATCTTAGTAAATGTGTTTGTACTCAAAAAGATGCTCTCCTGTCCTTGGATGGAGTGTCCTGCAACTGTTGATTAGCTCCAGCTGGTTGAAACGCTGTTCAAGTCTTCTGTATCCTTATTGATTTTCAGCCGACTTGTTCTATCAATTACGAAGTGTGGAGCAATGAAATTACTGACTATCCTTACAGATATATCCATTTTTCCTTCCAGTTATCAGTGTTTGTTTCATATATTTCAAAACTCTGTTATTCTCTTCATAATGTTAAGGATTATTATGGCCTCTTGAAGAACTGACCCCTTTATTGTTATGAAAAATCTTTCTTTATCCATAGCAATATTCTGCGCTCTGATCTGTCTGCTATTAATATAACCACTCCAGCTTTCTTTTAAAAAATTAGCTGTATCATGGTGTATTATTTTTCCACCTTTTTACTTTTAACACATTCCCCTCCTCACTGTCTGGTACCTTGCCTCTTTAGGTCCCTGGCCACACAGCATGTCCATCTCCCCAGTGGAATAGATTCTCGAGGGCTGATACTGAGTCTCACTTGTACTTCCATGTTCAGCAGCTAATGCACAGTAAATGTTTATCTGGTACCTTGCCTCTTTAGGTCCCTGGCCACACAGCATGTCCATCTCCCCAATGGAATAGATTCTCAAGGGCTGATACTGAGTCTCACTTGTACTTCCATGTTCAGCAGCTAATGCACAGTAAATGTTTAAGTGCCTAAGGATCCAACAAGTTCTCCCAGTCTTGGTTTTCCAACACCAAAAACTCACAACAAGTTCTTAGTTAACAGCTCACAAGAATCACTATAAACAAACAAAAAATATTAGGGATTATACTGAGTCTCATCAGTACTGTCTATACTAGACATAGCATTTAAATGACATACGAAGGGCAGAAACTTGAAAACACTAAATAGTATTCAGCATATAGATTCTTGTGAGCTGTCAGAGATTTTACATCTACCAGGATTCCTATGTGCACTATACAGCTAAGGAAAGCTTTGCTATAGTGTTCTGAATTACTTCAAGAAATTTAAATTCATCCTTAAATCATTCTACAAGTATTTCAAGATACATTTGGTTTCTGTCAGTAGAAAGCATTATATCATTACTCTTCTGTGGTACTAAAAAACAATCTCAAACACATGTAAATAAACATTTATTGGTCTGCTCCTATCTTATGAGGAATCAAAATTTTATTTCCAAGGGAAAGATGAAGAGCCTTCACATAAGCAGGACTGGATAACACAAACACAGAAAAGTATGTGTGTGCATGAGAGAGAATACGTGTACTTAGGGAAAAGAGGGAGAGTGATAAACAGGGAGAATATTTTAAAATTGCCAAATATTCCAAGATTTAAGATTTAGCATTCACATAACTTTAACTTTAAATCCATACTTATAAAAAATGCAAAATAGTTTTTAAAGAAATTCTGAGGAAAACATTCAGATAAATACAATGGCAGTGTCTTCACTAGAGTCTGGTACCACATAGATTAATTCCTCCTTCAAATTCAAGACTGGCTTCACAAACAAAATTATAGACAAAGAAATGACCTCTCAGTT